ATGTTGAGAGAGTAAGCGATTGAAATCTGTTGTGTCAGATCAGATGCCAAGGAACGATGACTCAAAAAACGCGAAGAGTTCCATATAAAGCATATGGCCAATGACTACGGTTTCCTGATAATGTCCGCCTCAAAATCAGAGATAAATTTTACCACACCCAGAAATTCATCTCACAGCGCAAGGAGTACTGGAATCACTTTTGCATTTAGCTCAGATATTACATGTGTTAAAAATCAATTATGATCAGCAAAGTTGACAGCATGATAGCTGTATACTATGTCTTTATCACAGAGAAGCACTCCTAATCAACAACGCATGGTAACCGATAAGGTGCTTCATTGGTTTTGTCTTTCGATTCGGCTTCCTGACAATGATCTACTCTCAACACGTTGGCGACAAAGTGACGCATCTGCGCATCACACTTCGAACACCACGTCGGGACTGTGGCGTGGTTGCGCGTCACATTTAAGTCGTCTCATTTTCTCATGCTTGTGAGCGACTTCTTCGTTGTTTTTGATTTATTATTTATTACTTAATGCTTGTTTGGTATGTTTTTGCCTTTGGTTTACGGAGAGACTTCTTTATTCGGTCGATGTTTCAAACAATTCCGAACAAAGACACGTCGACCGAATAAAGAAGTTCCATCGTAACAACCTGTACAGCAAAACAGCACAAGCAATATTTGCAGCATGCCCAGGTTTCAAGAAGACCGAACATGAATTATTATACTATTTTTGTCTCAGTATTGTGCTGTCCCGGAGCCTCATCAGGACCTAAATGTTATGAAACACAAAGAGGCACCAAAATTTATTCCAAAAGAGTCCCAAAAGTTCACAAAATATTCAAAAAACTCCAAAATTCCAAAAAACACGAAAAGTTTCAAAAAGAACTCCTTTGAAATCTTCTGCTATATTTCGGTGTTTAACACCTTCTTCAGGCCTGAAATACATTGATTTAATCACTGGTAAAAACAATATGATGGTTTCCCGAACCCATATATATACCTACATGTGTATGCCTCAGCCAAGGATTTAGCTGCCCTTACGGGAGCCGCGCCGTTGGAGTGGAATTAAGTGACTTACCGCTCACCCTCTGCTTAAATAGTAGCGGACGGACTGTGACGGTCATTGCATGTGATATTAAAAAACCATATGACATTGGGCACGTAGTTAATTTAATAGTTGTAGAGCGTCACGTAGTTCGTCCTTACTATTTATTTCGGGTGATAGTTTTCTTATTTCTAATGCCTCCAATAGCCTCCTTTCCACCGGGTTCCCTATGGAGCGGTGTAGCACCTTAATGGTCAACGAAGGCGGTTCCCCATATGTGTGCTTTGTGGTGCGGTGCTTGGAGAAGCTGCTGTTTGGATACGAGGCTGGGTTTTGTAACGCCCTTCGGTGTTCATCCAAACGCTTGTAAAGAGGCCTTTTTGATTCCCCAACATACTTTTGTCCGCATCCTTGACATTCTATTAAATAAACGGTACCCCTCAATTGGCAAATTTTATTGTCGTTGCAGTATGCACAATTCCTTCTGCCACATTTTTCTTCATATGGTCTTGAATAGGTGAGTAGATGTCTTGAGATTAGGTGGTGGACGGAAATATAAGGCGTATGGGGAGCTTTGACCTTTTGACCACACTGTTAACTTTTTGTGCCGTACTCTCGTTCAGATACGGCATTACCATAGGAACACCATCTGGTGTTGTGTGTGGGGCTGTTTATCTAGACAATTTATTTTTACGAATTTGGTGTAATCTTCACGAAAGGAGCGTGAAATAGGTGAAATACAAAAATCAGGTTGGAGAATTTCTTCCCCTTTCCCCTCCCCTCCTGCTCGATGGCTGTTTTGTGGGATATGGGGGAAAAGTGGGACAGTGTAGTGTATCGACTGATCCCAGAATCAGATACTATAGAAACTACAATGATGGCGAGGGTGGTGGTCAGAAAGGGTCGTATTTGGTCAGCCTCCTGAGTCCCATGATGGTATTTGAAATCGCTTCGAGACCCCCATGAAAGGGGGAGGGGTCGCAATAATTTTGGGAAATTGCGAGCGCAATACTTGACTCTGGCTACATGTGCAGGTGCATACTGCTCGACCATTTCTGTGCACGCAAATGGTCGGTCGAAAACCATGGACTCTGTGCTTAAGCGACATCTTCCACTCCCAAAAAAGGATCTATAAAAAAACGCATTGTTAACATGGAAGTTCTTTTATCTGAATTGCATCATCACCATCATACACTAAAACTTATTTACAAGAATTTGCAAATTCACAGAAAATCACAAGAAAATTAAACATCAACAACAACAACAACGAAGAATTGAGCAACAAAAATTTCGTTGATAAGCTCTAAATTAAAAACAAATTACATCGAACATCGTAGGTAAAAGTGCAGGCAAGCCAGAAACTAAGGTCGGATGTGGTTTCAAGGATAGAAAGCGACTTCTTCACTATTCGCAACACGGAACTTTATACTGAGGGAACGCCCCCCCCCCCGACCATGAGTGGACCTGAGGTTCTCGCAGCGAATAAGTTTCGCGCTGTGTAAAGCGATGAAAGTGGATTTTAGCTTAGCGAACCACACCCCCAAAGTACACCAAGTACTGTAAACACCATGAACTCATAGCTAATGAAGCAATCGATTTTTCCAAGTTTACAGACAATTCACAGTAGTATGTCATAGAATTCTGATGCAGACTTCAAGTAGGCAATCCGAAAACTTCTTTACGCTGCATCTGATGAATACGCTGCGAAATCCGCGATTCAAGATCGTTCATTTCGTTGATGGCATGGCTCATGAAACTAATATCTCGATCGATGCAGTCACTTGTCATCGTTCTCATAAATCTAGAAGAAGCAACTGAATTCAGTTGTACACTCCATGCATTTTACACACAAGAAGAATAAAAATGAGAAAAAAATCCCTGAATAAATCTCCTTTGATAATCTGCTAGCTTGCGTCATGCGATTTAGTGCTCGGGTATTGCACCAACCAATATACAGTGCGTATCATAAGTATAGACGCACCCCTGAAAGTGCCACGGCGGACTTCCATAGAAGTTCTCAACAGAATCATCACCTTCTGGAATCAAGCATGCGCGAAAACCTACGTTAACCAGCTTCCACGTTGGAGAGAATTTGGCCTTTTTCTAACCGAGCATTATTTTGCCTGTATCAAAAGTATAGACGCACCTCGGAAATCTAATACACTTTTTTGAAAACAAGCAGATAACAACTTCGTGATAATCAATTGTTCCTCCATGTTAAGAAATCGATTTCAAAATTCGATTTGGCATTGATTCAACTAATCCTATAACACCAGCTGCACATCCAATTCCGGTCCCATGCCTGCCTAATGTCATCACAGGTTCTCACTTATCAAAAGTTCTTCCCGACGTTAATTACGCGACAAGTATACCCCAGGTGCGCTCTATGCACTAGGATCAGGCCAGTCCATGGCGGCTAAATTTCGCTGTTTCTAACCACGATTACTGTGAACCTGCTCGCGTGGATCACCACGTTGTCTTGTTAGAAACCAAATTCTCCTTCTTCAAAACGTGCCATAAAAAGGTAGTAGATGACGACGTAGCACGATTTGGTAGTCCGACGAGTCCATATGAGTGGAGGTGAAGGCGATCTCAAGCTCACCGGTTAGATGGAATCCTGCCAAGACCATGACGCTACCTCCACCGAAATTGCGTGCACTGAAGTACTTCGGTTCCTTGCGGAGATCTACCCAGTAAGACGTATTTCCATTCTGTGCCGTCCAAATTGAACTAGTTCTCGTCGGCAAAGATCACCTAAGCAGAAAATTTCAACTTAGAAAGTTTTCAAGAGGAGGACGCGTGTTTTCGATCAATTTGTTGCCATGCTCCTTTCTGGCAAATTGAAGGCCGGGCCTCCTCGTGGGCCTCAGTAAGTCGAGAAGCAGGGTGCAGGCGATTATCTAACTTATGCTGTTGTTACCCATGATAGCCTTGAATATCGTCATAATGGGCTATGAATCCGTTCAGGTGGCTCAAACTCTACTGATGCTAATAGTCGATTGAAAACGAGGTGGTCTAATCGCACGTCCCTGCTGTGGAGTTATCTTCTTCGGCCACCCGGGTCTTTCTTTTGTTCCGCTCGAGCCTGTTTCACGTAGAAATCGGTCGCTAGGTCTTGATGAAGCGCCGCAGTCTTTCAGCATTTTGACGTTTGCGCAGGCCTGCTGTGTGCAGGGCGCGAACCTGTGCCTACCCGGCTTCCGACAACAAGTGGACCAATGGCATTTTGCTATATTGTGCAGTGTACTCATACCTAGCTATTGGTCTCTTGGAACGGCAATAAGTCTATGTATAGCCGCTTACTTTCCCAAATTATTGAAGGTGCGTCTATACTTTTGATACAGGCAAAATAATGCTCTCACCTGTTAAAAAAAGGCCAAATTCTCTCCAACCCATGTAAAAGCTGGTGAACATAGGTTTCCGCGCATGCTGATTCAGATGATGATGAGTACATTTGCCGAGAACTTCTATGAAAGTCAGCTATGATACTTTTAGGGGTGCGTCTATACTTATCGATACGCACTGTATTCCTTAGAGGACAGTGAGATGTCGGTCTTGGATGGTCCGACATGACATGAAAGTAACCAGTGGCACTGAAATTCGAACGCCTAATTGACTGGGTGAAAACCCAAAAGTGGTGCGGACAACATCTTGGCCATTCCTTTAGCGCCAAAATTTTAGATAAAAATAAGTAATAAAAATAAAAGGGCTAAAGTAGTCGGTGTCGTGGAATTCCACGACCTCCGGATCGTAGTCGCAGCTGGCATGCTTTTTAATTACCTTTTGTAAAGGAATGTGGCCCTTGGCTCCTCCCCTCATGTCAGATGCCTGCCATCGGTGCATTTGCTCGCTTGCATCTTATATATACTAGCCTGCTTTGTCCCTGTTTTGGACAATGAACCTTAGTAAAGTGTCTCACTTGAACCACTCACAATTTTTGGTGCACATTCGGCCAGAGACGAACTCGCGGCCGCCCGCGTGGCAGGCGGGCATTCTGCCAATGAACCACCGATGCACCAGAAATATCGGTCATTCGGGGGGAGCAGTTTATTGCGCAAGAGCAGTGATGTAAGACGTTCCTGCGCTTATATACGTGAGTAACATAGCAGGTGTTATAGCATTCACAGATTTCCAAACAAGAAATGCTCAAATGCTTGGATAAGAACTAAGTGAATTCATGCAACGTATAGCGAATGAGAATCTAACTAACCAAAATATGTGAAATGAGCAAATCCAAAAATATGATGTCTTACACGACAGTGCCGCTCCATATCATGGTATTGTCGGACACAAGTTATTCAATGGCGCAGTGTCTACGCTCCACAACGTTTACTCATGCGTCTTGGAGAAGAGTGTTAATAGAAGTACTGTAAAGGTGAATGAATGAGAGCTGCTCTCAATAGGGGACGGCTCATTTTGGACATCCCATATGAAACATAAAAAGAAACGAGAGGAGCAACGTGTCAGCCGTAATAAATACTCTCCAAAGATAAAAAGAAAGTTTTTCTTGAATAGGATTTCTGCACTTGTTCCTGTCTTACTTTAGCACTATCTTGATAAATACACTTTTCTTCGACCATGAAAACATGTAAAAAGTCAATCGTGTATGTTTATAACATGACAAGCATGTATAATGCCAGATGGCCAAAAAAAAAAGATAAAACGCACAAGTGAGTCAAAATCATGGCAATAGCGAAACATAATCACGTCAAAATAGTATTATAAAAATCTTGAAGCAATAAAACTTTACTACAGCTGATTGCCTTTACTACAATTACTAACTCTGCTAATGATGCTACCAGTTCCGCTGACGGTACCGTGCGCGTCACACGACCGCTAAGGCTGGTGTCAGCCGTCGATTGTCAGAGTCCGCGATCCGTCGCAGGTTTCGCTGATTTTCGCGATTTGCGCGAAACCTGCGACGGATCGCAAAAATTGCAAGTGCCCCATTTGAACATTTGAAACACTGAATATGAAACAAGTGGAATCATGAGCAGTCGTCATTCAGCCATCACTATCAAGCAGAAGTGGCGGCAGGATTGGAGAACACCTTGCAGTATTGATCGGGCACTTGTGATTTCCGTGACCCGTCGCGAATCGCGCAAAATCAGCGAAAATTCCAAAAATGCGAATAGCAATTCGCGAACGGTGAATCGCGCAAATCGCGCAAATCAGCGGAAACCTGCGACGGGTCGCGGACTCTGACAGCAGCCTAACGAATGGTACACCCAAATTAAAGCTGAACTTCACTACGTGATCCAGTCTGGGTGCGTGACGATTCTGATCGGAATACAGGCAGCTGATTAATAAAGAATTGAAATTAAACCCGAATAAGGGAAAATTTACGATCGGCAAGGCTTTCAGTAATGTGACCAGCTGAATTCACTGCGGATAGTTTAAGGTGAGCTTTTTAGGCTTGGCTGTCTAGCAATTTGTCTGAAATAAGTTACCTAGCTTCCCCCGCATCATAGGGACGTGCATGGTTAGGGCCAAAGCCCACACGGAAATCGCCAGCACCAAAGACCCGGCGCGAAAGCCTGCTGCCCGCGGAGCGGGTGACCTACAAGCTGACGGATGAATTTTGACTGTCTCCCGTTTTGCACTTCATGACCCATGCCCCCCCACCCATCCCAAACTTGACCCGGGTTCTGCAGATTGATCTTCAGAAATAGAGTTCCGTGATGACACGGCGACATGGCGATATACACAGACGCACACACAAATGCTGCCTTATATATGATAAAGACGTGATACATTATACGAAGATATAGCGAAGATAGCCTCACAACTTCACAAAAATACACATCACGCATTTCGTAGCCAATTCGTACACCATACAGTGGTTTCGTAGCAACGATTTTGCATTGCATGTGCACACTAGAAAACGGAAAATGAAGCCATTGACACCAACTAACCTCAGCTTTGCTTCTCCGATGGAGGACAGAACAGCCATCAGTGTGTCGATGTTCCAAGGAATCTCACACACCATACGCAATATCTGAAGAAAGGACCACTATCAAAAGTCATGAACATTGAATTTTCAAATGTGAAATCAGTACGACAGCAATTAGCAATGCGGTTCAGAACATCTATTCCCTAGGATTGCCACCTATTTTCGACCAAAAAAAAACGATCCCTACTATATGAGCTCACTCCGTCTATGAGTCTTTCTGATGTGCGTTTGTCCAATTACCTGAAGAACCCATAGCGCTATACATGCTTGTCATGCAATAGACATAACATAACATAACCACCTACAGTTCAGACTTAAGTTTAGGGGGCATGGTTCAAGAAGTACGACACATCAGCAGGGTGGAGCTCCGTCCACAGTGGGCGGGGCACGCGCCGAAATGGGAGGTGCCAATGGTAAAATTTCTAGTTCGTTTACAGAACAGCTCGAATACAGGAAAAAATGAGAAAGGTATGCTCCGAGTTGATAAGTCGAATTGGGGAGACGTGCCCGCGGTGGGTGGGGATTTCTCTGAATGGGCGAGGTCTTATGAAAAAATCCGTAACTCAATTGGGAAAAAGCCTATGAAGCAAAAAAGAGCAATATTTAAGTTATCCCCAGCAGACCTGAATGGGTGAAAGCGCGCTCATATGGATGAGCGTGTTCTCAAGAGGCTAATGCTTATTACAAATCGCCGTAGTTTGGTCCCGAGAAGTTCCATGGACCGCGGAAAGTGAGTAGAGATTGGCGAGAAGGGAGGTCAACAGCTATAGGTGGGTGCACCAAAGTGAGCAGAGTTATCCACGAAACACTATAACTCGGTTCCAATGAGTCTTGGAGATCGGGGAAAATAAAGAGCCACGGAGGCGAGGTCATTTGCTATTAGTGGGTGGGTGCGTGCCGAGGTTGGTGAAGTTTGCCAGAAATCATTACAAAAATATCTAGCCTTGTTTAATACCACTGCAATTCCGTTGATCGCTCACTGGTAGTGGAGGTATGGTTCACCTGTGATGCAGGGATAGGAAAAAAAAACAAGGAAAACGGCATAAACTAGCGAAATGGGACCCCCACCTCCCCTGTGAGTTCCGCGTTGAGCAACCTCATCGGTGCTGACTTCATCACTGAACGCTCAGCTCGATTACGTGACTACTTGAACTGCCATGTTGTCTGCCGCGAATGGTTATAACACAGATGATCAGAGAACGACGCGTGGCTCTACTCCAAATCCCAGAGAGGAATGTGAGGGCGGTCCGATAAATCCCATCAGCTGAGATTCAAGAGCGTGGCGCTTTATCAATGGCGTGATAAGGCGCCGGCATCCACTCCCACAATTCAGCGACGCTTACGTTTCGGACGTATAAGGGGTTGCAATGGCAGCGTACTTGATATGACACCATCATCGCGATAGTTCAATTTTCATTATACAGCGCACCTTATACCAAGCAGGCGCATCTTCTTATTCTACCCTATGTATCTTCCATGGAGTTACCTTTGCAACCATTGCTTATCTTAGCTCCTTTCTCGAGTCTATCGAGTAGCAAGAAGTGGAACTCAGCTCCATCTGGAGGCCAGCGCGCTCGCTTCCATTGGGGCTAAACCTGGGAGGGGGAGGGACTTCGAGTGGGTGAGCCAATTACAGTGTGGCAAAAGTTTGAATGTGTGAGATCACAGTAGTCATGAGCCGCTGTTTAGGCGAGAGAGCGCAGACGAGAGCATCAAATTGAGGCGGTTTAAAGGACCGAGTTCAAGTAGTCCGTAAGTTGCTCTACTCTGCCTCTCTGCTAAACGGCTTGTCCGATAGCGAGGGAATAAGTGTAGTGCCGTGAGCGCAGCCAGTACGGCCCTGCTAGGCTGCTGGATGTGTACCCCTACCTGCAAAGAGCATCCTCCCACACCCTTGGGGGAGCTGC